GGCCAGGGAACTGCCAGCCTGGTCTTAGCCCTGGGCTTTATAAGGGCCAGGCCCTGCCTCCTACAGGCAGCTGGCTCCCCTTAGCTACCCCGGCAACCCGCAGCTGGGCTCGTTACCCTGGCGACACTCAGCTGGGCTCGTTATGACCTGCCAGGGCTCTGTCTCTCTCCCTGGCAGTTTCTCCCCTCTAGGAGCAGGCACTGAGGTGCTCTGCGACAGTGTGGTTTTAAAAAAAAAAAGTTAATGACTCCTGTAGTCCTTTAACTATTTACAAAGTCTAAAAAAGTATTAAGAAAAAGTATTTAAAAAGGCAATTAAAAATTTTACATTATTTTATTGATAATGCTTCCTAAACACATTTTCTCTAGTATATAATCTAACATTCTTAAACTTTCCTTTATAAAACATGAAATGCTGTAAAGAAAATCTATTTACATCTCACAATATTTGTTTATTCCTAGGTCTTGGTGCCCAGATCGCACTCTTCCCCAAGCCAGAAAGTATATTGCAGATTCACTAGATGAGAAATATACCGAACCAGTCATTTTACAGTTAGAGAAAACTTGGGAGGAAAGTGATACACGGACACCTCTCATCTGTTTCTTGTCTATGGGGTCTGACCCAACTATTCAGATTGACTCCTTGGCTAGGAAGCTTAAACTAGGTATGAGCCTAAACATTCATTCTTATAAATAGTTCATAATTCAAAAAGGTAATATACCTTTGAGAGGGGGATTGTATTCTGAAAAATTAATTTGTTAAAACTATCTTACCATTATTTGTCCCTGATAAATCCTCATGGACATAGAGAAAGTTAACCATTATTTAAATAAATGCTACAGTGCTAAAAATATTTTTTATGGAATACAGTAATGCAGCAAAAGCTGTGTTATATAGCACTTTATCAACCAAAAAGCTCCACTAACCGGCATCTGAGGGATGAGGCAAAAGCGAAACCGGAAGTTCCACTTCCCATTTCACCGCTGCGAGCCAAGTTCTTCTTCTTCACTTCTTTGGCCCACAGCCTGGGGCAAAGCAGCCTGCGTGGGGTCCCCTTCCCTGTCCCCCAGCACACTGATGCCGGGGAGTACACCGGACAGTGCACATTTGATTAACTGGCATCCCCATTCCCGGGGATGCCGGATAACAGCTTTTGCTGTAACACGTTTTCAGTATTTACATACCTTGTTAGTTATGTTCCTTTCAAACTACCAGGCTATTTATTCTGTCATTGGCTAGTGTAACAGGGGGCCTGCTCAGGGCCGATCTCCGTGGCCTGCCCACCTGTTCTTGGGCCAACCGCCCACCTTCTCGTCCGCCACGCCTTGATGTTAATTGATTCATTAATGGATGTCAATTAAGCGGGAGGCTGCCCATTTTGGTGCCCCGATGCCAGGGGGCACTCTCTGCGGCTCCTTTCCTCCCCTACACCGCAGCCCAAGCCTCGCAGATGGCATCTTGATGTTCACATCCTCACCAGCCCCCACATTGGGCCCCAGATTCATCCTAACAGGACCCCTCCATGATCCCTCCACTCAGACGGCCTCTCTGCCTTCATTCAGGCTACTAGCCCCCCGAAACCATTTTCCCCTCTCGGGTATGGTCCCCCCGGGACCTCTGGCTACTAGCCCTGGCCCACCTCCAGGCCAGTCGGGACCCCAGGCCCCTGGCTCTTGGGCATCCCTCACGGTGGGCCCCTGCCCTTTTGACCATCCTGGTCCTGGCCCCAGCATGGTACAGTCAAGGGTACTCTCTCGTTCAGGCCGGGTCCCTAGCCCCTCACTCTCTCCTAGGGCCTGCCCTCTGGGCCCTTCACTCAAACACTAGGGTTACCCTCCTGGCAGTGGGGGCTAGGGGTTAAGGCACCCCAACCTGCCTTTCACCGGGGTGGTAACTGGCCTGGCATTTCCT